TGGAATTAGACCTGTTTGGACGTCACACCAAATTGCTCTTGAGAAAGGGCAAGTGAAGAGCAGATGATCAATGCCTTTGTTTGTTTTCTTACGAAAAATATAAAGCATATGCTATGGTGGTAACCATCTCCAGCACTTGTCTTTTGTAAGCACATATGCCTACCTATCTCTATATACAGTAATCTATTTTTATAAATGGGGAATAAGATACCAATCCCCATATGCCTACCTATCTCTATATATAAAAAGGGGGATTTTACAAATGTGCAATCAAGTTTCATAATATATTTTTTGTTTATGACATATCATAATATTGATTTATTTATTATTTTTAATGAAAATTTATATAATTGGCTTGAGCCAAATTGAGCTAAGTAAATCACAAGTATCGAGTCAAGCCAAATTCGAGTAGAAACTCAAAACTTGATAAAGCTTGAGCCACCCAAAACTTGATTCGATTCAGCTCAATTACACCCCTAGTGGTGGCATAAGCTTCTCGTCTAATGACCTTAAAATGGAGGTGCACCAAAGTTGTAGGTGACATGGCCCATCATAGGTGAAATAGCCCATTGCAAATCCTCATTGCAAGTGAGATGGACACCCTAAATACTCATTGTAGGTGAGATTATCATCACAAAATAGAGGTGCATTGAAGTCACACCTCCTCCTCCTCCTCCTCCTCCTCCTCCTTCTTCTTCTTCTTCTTCTTCTTCTTCTTCTTCTATAGACCTTAAAATTGAGGTGTGTCATAGCCACCGGTGAGATGAGATAAGATGACCATCGCAGGTGATATAGCCCATCGCAAATCCTCATTGCAAGTGAGATCTACATCACAAATTCTCATCGTAAGTGAGATGGCCATCGAAATTAATCCTCACCACAAGTGAGATTTCCATCACAAATGAGATTGTCATTGCAAATCCTAATGGCAAATGAAACCCTTTTTTCCTATTTCAAGAACCCAATTGGTCCTATGAGAAAAAATGATTTTCTCATATGTGTGATTTGAACACTAGGGTTTTGTGAATTTTTGAAATTCTCCCTCTCTTATTATTAGTTATATGTTTTTAATGAATTTCCTATCAATCTTGAATTCCCTATCATTTAGGGAATAAGAAAAAACATTTTTTAGTTTCAGCAATAGGAGATGGGGAAAAAATGATTAACATGTGAAGTGATTTTGAAATTGATCACGTCTTATCTTCCAAGTCTCTTATAGAGTTCTTACTATTTGGAGTGGTGTTAATCTCCACCTCTTCTAAGTACTGGTTGTGAGAGAACGATGATCATTTCTTCCAATCCAAAGACTTTTGAAACTTCTAAACAAGATTGATTCTCCAAGTACATGTATATAGGGTTCCCCTATAAACACAAAACATTTCATTGATTCACAAAAAGCATCATTGATAGCTACAAATAAGATCAACCTCGAAAAAAATATATTTGCCTACCAAGGTCAGACGATCATGGTGTTTTAGTGGGAAAAGAAAGAAGAAAGACTACACATTGTATAAGAAAAAGGTTTGGGAGAGAAAAAATTAATTAATTCATTGATCTTGGTGGATATATATATACATGTGTAACTAACTAAGTCCACTTGTACAAGACAATTGTACACATGGAAGCATCTCCTAACTGATTTAGTTATCTGTAATACGCGCCCTCAAGTTGGAGCATGAGGATGATGGATGCCCAACTTGGAAAGCAAGGAGAGGAACCGTTCACGACCAAGAGCTTTGGTAAGAATATCAGCCGGTTGTATGGATGATGAAATGTGTGCTGTAGCAATGATCTTGGAAAGCAGCTTCTCACGTATGAAATGACAGTCAATCTCCACATGTTTCGTTCTTTCATGAAACACAGGGTTGGCAGCAATATGAAGAATAGCTTTGTTATCACAGAATAGTCGCATGGGCTGAGGATGAGGGAGATCAAGATCTGAAAAGAGGCGTTTAAGCCATAACAACTTAGCAATTGCAATTGCCATGGACCGATACTCAGCTTTAGCTGATGAATGGGCAACAGTAGATTGTTTCTTGGTTTTCCAGGATAATGGTGAAGAACCAAGAGTGGTGAAGTAACCAAATGTTGATTTTCGGGTAAAGGGGCACTCTACCCAATTAGAATCATAGTAGGCTCGCAGTTGAAAATCGCAGTTGGCAGGTAGCAGAATACCATGCTCAGGGGATCCCTTAAGGTATTGCAAGACATGCATGGCAACGTCCCAGTGTTGTTGGCGTGGGTCTCCCATGAATTGGCTCAAGAGGTGAACTGTATATGTTATCTCTGGATGAGTGATCGTCAAATAAATGAGATGGCCAAATAGTCTTCTATATTGGTGGGGATATTTAATAGGTGGATCAGCATCTTGTCCAAGATGATGTTGTTGCTCTAAGGGAAAAGCATTGGGTCTACATCCCAACATGCTACAATCTTTGAGGATATCCAAAGTATATTTGCGCTGACTCAAGAAAATGCCATTAAAGTCTCGAGAGACTTTTATCCCCAGAAAATACCAAAGTGTGCCAAGGTTTTTCATGGGAAAACAATTATGGAGATATTCTTTGAGAGCAGCAACCCAATGGATCGTTTCCAACAAGAACCAAATCATCAACATAAGCAAGAATGGCCAAGAAGCTACTGGGCTGAATGCATGTAAAGAGAGAATGATCAGTCGATGACCGAGTGAATCCCCGTTGTTTGAGTGCATATGTAAGGGTCTCAAACCAGTTACGTAAGGCTTTTTTTAGACCGTAAATAGACTTGTTGAGTTGACAAACGCGATTATCTCCTACTGGAAGTAAGCCGAGAGGGGGGTCATATAGACTTCTTCATGCAACTTTCCATGGAGGAAAGCGTTGTCCACGTCCATTTGGTGAAGTTCCCAATCTCGGGCAGCCGCCAAGGCTAACAAGCACCGTACAATAGTAAGTTTAGCTATAGGTGCAAAGGTTTCATTGTAGTCCACCCCAACCATTTGAGTATAACCTTTGGCTACTAGATGTGCTTCATAGCACTCAACTGAACCATCAGGCTTTCGTTTAATTTTATACACCCACCGGCAGACTTTACCTGGTGGAAAAGGTGTTAAAGTTCAGGTTTGTGTTCTTTCTAGAGCTGCAAGTTCCGTTGCCATGGCTTGGCGCCAACATGCAAGTTTGTTGGCATGAATGTAAGTTGTGGGTTCAGTTGGTGAGTCTAGAAGTGCAATGGTGAAGGCAGATGTGGGATCCATGGTAATACAATGAGATATGGGATGAGCAGTGGAAGGAGGGTTGGAATTTGAAGTGTAGTCAATGGTGGGTTTGATGGTAGGACAGTGAAAATCAGCTAAGTGGGGAGGTGGACGTTTGGTGCAGGTGGGTCATGTTGTAGTAAAATGATGGATTGCAAAGGACTAGTGGGAGGCGAAGAGAAGGTGCCCTCTAGGGGTAGAGTGGTGGGAACCATTGCCTCAGTTTGATTTACGGGGAAATGAGCACCATCATCCATGGCTGAACGAGGAATCACTGGTGAGGTGTCAATGCTAGTGGACTAAACTGTAAATGGGAACTTGTTCTCAAAGAAGACCACATCACAAGAGATAAATATCCGTTGAGAGCTTAGATCATATAGGCGGTAACCTTTCTGTCCTACTGGATAGCCAATGAAAACATAAGAAACAACCCGTGGCACAAACTTGTCTTGACCATGTTTGAGAGTACTGGCATAACAAAGACATCCAAAAACTCGGAAGTGCTCATAAGTAGGTGGTTTGTTGAATAGTAATTCAAAGGGTGTCTTGTTACCCAATAATGGTGTGGGTAAGTAATTTATTATGTATGCTACTATCAGTATTCACCCCAGAATTTAATTGGTAGATTGGCTTGGAAACCTAGAGTCCTTGCTACTTCAAGAATGTGCCGGTGCTTATGCTCAACTACCATATTTTGTTGGGGAGTGTCGACACAAGAGTGCTGATGCATGATACCATTACTAATAAGATATTCTTGCATCAGTCCAGAAAAAAATTTAGAGTCGTTATCGGACTGTACATACTTGACATGAGCATTGAACTGAGTATGTACCATAGAACAAAATTGCTTGAAATAGAAGTAGCAATCAGACTTACATTTCATCAAGAAAACCCAAGTGACTTTAGTACAATCATCTACTATTGTCAGAAAATACTTGGCACCGAATAGAGATGGAGTGCGATAACCGCCCCATATGTCACAGTGAACCAGGTCAAATTTGCTGGAAGCTCTACTTATGCTTATTTGAAAGGGCTTCTGAGTTATCTTGGCTCGTAAGCATGTATCACAACACTTGTTTGGGGTTGATGTGATTTGCAAATCAGGAATCAACGATATACGATTGTAAGAAGCGTGTCCTAGGTGGGAATGCCATAGAATTGAGGAGGGATGTGTTGATGTAGAAGCTAATGATGTTGACGATGAAGCTGATGTGGAAGCTGTAATTTTGGTGTGAGGTACAAAATGATACAAACCATCACGGACTAGGCCCACTCCAATCAATTTCTTGGGGGTGAGGTCCTGTATAGCACAAAAGGTAGGGAAAAACATAGCCACACAATTCAAATCAGTTGTGAGTTTACTAATGGAAATAAGGTTGCATTGGAAATCTAGGATGAACGGAGTGTCCTTCAAAACAATCTCAGGTGTAAGTGGAACATTTCCTTGGCACTGTATAGATAATAGAGTGCCATCAGGTAGCTGCACCGGTCATGTAGTGATTTGTTTTGTAGTTGTAGGAACTCATGGACCTGAGCCAAAGGGGACCATATGGTCTGAGGCTCCTGTGTCTAATATCCATTGAGAACGAAAAAGAGTACCTACAAAGTTTTCCGAGGCTCCCTGATTCTCACCATTGAGCATATTCATCAGTTGATGATATTATTTTGCAGTTAATCCATAAACCTTTTGTTTTGATCCCAGAACACTTGATGATGGGAGTTTGGGGTTTGACTTGTCCTTATCAGTGATTGAAGGCCTTCTGGATCACTTTGATTCCCAGCCAGGTGGGTAACCATGCAGTTCATAGCATCTGTCCTTGCTATGTCCAGGTTTCTTGCAATGATCGCACTTGATTTTGGGGTGATCTTTAATGCTTTTACTGTTGTTGGGTTTGGATGGTCCAGCTACGTGAAGAGCAGCTGCTTCCATGGTCAAGCCTTGATGTGAGACTAATGCTTGGTGTCTTTCATCTTGTGAAACCATGGCATAAACTTTGGTTACCATGGGCAGGGGTTCCATACTCAGAATGTAAGATCTGATGTTGTTGAAGCGGTCACTAAGCCCCAACAAGAACTGATAGACCTTTTCTTTATCTCTTTCAACATGGAAATCTTTTGAAGCTTCACAAGAACAGGGGTATGAACAGATCAGCCCTGGTGTGTAGATTGAAAGTTCATCCCAAATTGCTTTCAATTTTGTGAAATAGATGGAGACAGAGAGATTCTCCTGTCATAATAACGCCAATTCCCGCTTCAGCTAAAAGATGCGGGGTGTGTTCTCCTAAGAAAACCGATCTTCAAGGTCTTTCCAAATCTCTCAAGCGCTTTCTACATAAGCCACACTTTCATGCAATTCTTTTGCCAAAGCATTGTAAATCCAGGAAACTACCATAGAGTTGCATTTCATCCAGGCATGAAGTTTTGCAGTTTTTGTCCCATTCAGATTCTTGAGTGTGCCATTAATGAATCCAATTTTGTTCTTCGCCCAAAGTGCATTCATCATGGATCTTCTCTAGGTTGCATAGCTGTTTCCGTTTAATGGGTAAAAAACAAGAACCATTCCCGGACTGTCTGATGCACTCAAGAAATATGATGAAGACAGATCTGTGTAGGTTGGATCTCCGTTACCTGTTTCTGTTGCCATTCCTGCAGAGGAAGAGTAAGAAAAGAAAGAAAGCAAGGGGTCGTTTGTAGAAGAGCAGGGGATTGTTTTCACAGAGTGTTGCAGTCTAAGTGAATGCCCCGAAGCTCTAATACCATATAAGAAAAAGGTTTGGGAGAGAGAGAATTAATTCCTTCATTAATCTTGGCGGATATATATATATATATATACACACACGTGTGTAACTAACTAAGTCCACTTGTACAAGACAGTTGTACAAGTAGAAGCATCTCCTAACTGATTTAGTTGTCTATAATACATTGGTATTATTTATTTAAACTTTGAAGTTAAAAAGATCTATGAAGAAAAGGGCAAAGACCAAACATGGAGAACCATCACAAGTTGCATTTGATAGAAACAACACATGAAGCTTGCTTGTAATTCAGGCTTCCCATTCAAGTTTCTTGTTTGAGCCCTAACCTTTGAGCAAAAAAGTGAAACTGTTGGAAAGATTTTTCTCCTTTAGACTTAAGATAACAATAATAAATGGTGAAAGGGCTTTTTCTCGTTTGGTCTGGGCAGCACGGCAACAACAATAGCACAATAGCACCTCCTCTATCTCTCTTTTCTTGTTGCTCTTCCTTCTTATTCTTAGAAAACGGGAATGGGCACCTCTCTCTCTCTCTCTCTATTGTATGCATGTGACCGCATGGGTATTTCAATTTTGGGGTTTTCTTTTACTAAACTACTAATGTCACTGTATGACTAGGTTCTAGGTGCGGGCAAGTAGAATTGGTCATTCAAGTTTACTAACTAATAATAAGTATTAATAAAATAAAATATTAATTAATAATTAAATAACAATTTATTAATATTAATCAATTAACTAATTATTTCATTATATAATTAAATAATAAAATATGCAATAATATAAAATATTATTTATTAAATAATATTTAATATTTAATTAATTATTCATTAAATAAATAATTATTAAAATTAACCAATTAATTAATGAAATATTAATAATACTAATTAAAAATAAAATATAAAATAACAAAAAAAAACATTGATTCTTTGACCTAAATCAAGTATAGGTTTTAGTTGGCACACCCTACTAGATCATGATTAAGAGGTGCAAGCTGTTGGATTAGGTCTGGTTGAGGTCAACATAACCCAACCTGAGTTGTGGAACCCTCAACCATAACTCTAATCCAACCCAAAAGTTTCGAGTAAGGCCAGGTTCATACTTTTCAGCCTTAATTATAACTTGAATATTAGCCCCACCCAACCCTACCTGAGTTTTTCAAATTGAGTTTTAGGTTAAGCCACCCCAAGTTGCAGCCCTAGTCATGATACCTAGGGTGAGCATATTTCAATTAAAACCGAAAAACCAAACCAAAACTTCGCTTTCACTTTTTAGTTTGGTATTTTGGTCATCGATTCAGTTTTGGTTCCTCAAATTTGGTTTTTGCAGGTTTGGTTATTACATTTTATAGTTCACTTCCCTCCCTCTCTCTATCTCTCCAACGGAAGACACTAAATCAGTGCACCAATACCACCACATATTCTCCTTTTTTGCAATTGGCATCTTCTCTCTCTGTGGCAATTGAGTTTATTTGCAAAAGACTTGAGAAAAGGGGATTCTTCATTCATTACAAAAAGTTTAATCACCACCATATGTTAATTTCAATGGAGAATATTAAATGTATACCTATATATATAGGTGTTCTCTCTCTCTCTCTCAGCTAGTAAGATTCTTTGTAATCATTTTTATTTTTGCCAAAAAGCCTTTTTTTTTTCCTTAAATCTCAATTTTTAGTATAAAAAAATTAAAAATTTTAAACTTAAAATAATATATACCACTAGAATAAATGAATCCACAAGTGAGCCATGTACTAACGGATGTTAAAAAACCACTATACCAATGGATTACGAATTCCACCGATATAGTGCGGAAATAATACTTAAATCAATATTTTACTTCCATTTATATTGCATAAAACATAAGTGAGGGATGCAAATATTCGCCATAAAAACCATCTATACCAACATATTTTTGACTTTTTTGCAGTGATCAGTAGCAGAAGTCACATCGACTTAGTTTGGAAGAAGTATAAATACAAATATGTAGACTGCAAAACCTTATAATTTGTATTATTTTATATGTATTTATATTGTACATGTCTGTATTTGTACTCCTTCCAAACTGAGCCTTCCTCGTTCCAACTCTAATGTCAATCATATCTAGGGCTGATAAAAAGAGGAAAAGAAAAACAAAAGAAATTAATAGTAGCAAATTTGTTTGCAGTGCAGATTGGTGTAAATGCATGAGAGTTATTTATCACATTTTCAACTTAATTGGTTAGTGGTTGGTTACCTGCAGGCAACTGCTTTACATGGTCTCGTAAGAGTAAGAATAACAAGTATAATCACTACTACATATTTTCCTAGTAGAGAAGATCGATATAGTCAATCCTAGGAAGCCCGTTTTTTTCTTATAGTATTTACGACATCAAAATAGTTAAGGCATTCAATCATAAATGTGACATATGAATTTCTCACATTATTATTTTTAAAAATGTTCAAAATAATTACAATTTATTTCAATTTCCATAACTTTGATGATGATCAGCGAACTATGCCATTGGTAATTAACTGATTACCCTAGCTAATTTTTGTTGTCAAATACGCCATCACCACGTGGACCTAGGACCCGTGGCAGCTGGCATTGCATTGCCCACATGGCTAATTTTTGCCTCTTTACATGTACTCATTTATGACATGGTTCTCTATTATTAATACTACATTGTGTCATTAGAGTAATGTCTATCCAAGTTCATTCACCAAGTGCCATGCCAGCTTTGTTTGTCCCCCTCATAAATGGAGTGTTTTTGATTACCATAACTCAATTTGTTGAAAAGATAAATGTGGGTTAGGATTTAGGAATATCACTTCATATAAACATAGCCCATAGACTGGCAACATAAATAAGAGTAACGAGGATGATTTCAAATCACCAAACTACCCCTTCCCAAAGAATATTTTGTAACTGTTAGTCTCGGGGCACGAGGGCATTTCTGTATGTGAATGCAGATATGTGATGAAACCGGATGAGTGGGTCGGGCTGTGGGAGAGATCATTGCTGCACCAAATTAATAAGGAGGATTCTGGAGAATAAATACAGCTGCATGTACTTAGCCGTTTTTGACTATGTTATCTTCAACAAGACAAGAGGTAAGTACTATATATGTGCTGGTGCAAACTGAAAGACTGGTATAGGCTGTAAGAAATAGAACTAATTTTAGTCAACCCGTTTTCCATTTAAAGCTTGCAAGAAGAAACCCTTGCACTGTATGACAGGTCCAACAGCAGAAGCCAAAGCAATAACCTCTCCATTCCTTCTGAGTATGATTTTACTTTTCCCTCTTTTCTTTGTTTTTAGTTTGTCTGGTTCTTCTTCATTGTGACAGTACACTCTGGACTGTACTTAGTCAATAGTGAGCCCCCCCCCCTCTCTCTCTCTCTCTCCTCATGCTTCATGATTTCATACGTAACATGGTGGATCTTTGTTTTGCAGTAGCTATAATAATTCTCTGAGCTATTTGTCCTTGCTCAGTTGTGCTATGGTTATTGGTTATGCATGATACAGTACTTTGACGATGGCGGAAGTGAACAAACCTCTGGGGAGTCCAAGGAGTCTGATGTTGAACCAAAAATGCAGCGCTACCAGCATCTTTCCCTCTTGGTTTAGAAACATGCAAGAGTTCTCGTCTGATCACCACCAACCAGCCAGTGATTCATCTGTAGTTTCCAGAAAACCTGAAACCCTGAACAGTGGTACCAGTAATGCATTCCGCTTCATCGAAGAAAGCAGCCGCAATTGCACTGGCATAGATCCAGAGCCATTTCTCGGACAAATTACGACTCGGCAGCTGATTCCAGTAGATAATACGAAAGTGACATCGGAGAGTTCATTGCCAACGTCAAGTAAGAATTCAAGCGTTGTTAATGATTTAGCAGCTTCCTCTGGTTCCAAGACTGAGCGTATTGGTCCAAGTAGCGGCCGTAAACGGATTCTGATCGATCTAAATTTGGACCCAAGGAAGATGAGACAGTATGTAGCTTAACCCATAACTTCTTCACTTTTTTTCTTAATTAATTAAAGAGGATTTTGAATGAAATATTCATTGAAAAGCAATAGTATTAATAAAACTCTTGTTCTCATGCTAGAATCCTTGCGAATCGACAATACGCAGAAAGATTACGGATGAGGAAGCGAAAATACGTAGCCGAGCTTGAGAAAACCAGAAATTTGCTGGAGGTAACCAAACAGTCTGAACTCCTAACTAACTTATTTGATTACTTCTCTCAATACTCTTTGACAGAGAATAATTAGTCTCTAGTTTCATCAATGGTTTACCTCCTCGTGTTGTTTCGATCTCTTGGTTAATGATCAATTTATAGGCAGAAATTTCAGTTCTATGTCATCAAGTTTCGCAATTCGAGCATCAAATCTGGAGATTAAGGGTGGAAAACAATTCTATGAAGCAGAAGATTGCCAATCTCATGGGCGTGAAAATGTTACTAAACTGTAAGTCTGTCAGTCCATGTATTTTATATATAGGATAGAGAACGAAAGCAAGTCTGTTGCTGAAATGGTAGATGAAACAATGAATGGGTTTGATTGTTGCAGCTCAATTCGATGCTCGAACGGTAGAAAGGGAAAGGTTGAGGCGACTTCTTGAGTTGAAACAAGAATAACAGTTGCAGCTGTATGTAGCATCGAAAGCAGTAGAGGCTGTTGTTGCGGCATGAGAGCAGCAATCGAAGCTGCTACATAAGAGCCATTTCAGTTGCAAAGTAACAACACCATGGACCAGGATTTATGTAATACTGAGCTGAATCCACTTCTGTCCAATAGAAATCCTTTGAAGTTCTATATGTGATTTATAACTTTTGTGGTTATTAATTGATCGGAATCATTCTTTTGCTTGGATTTTTGGTTTCGTTTCATCTGTGTTATCGTTGTGTTGGTGTCATATATTATATTTTCATGTTGACTTGGCATTTGGGGATTCATTGCATGAGCCATGAAGATTCTTAGAGAAAGAAACTGAAACTGAAACTGAACCATCCTTCAATTTGAATTTGAATGAATTAGGGAAAGAGCTTTATATCATAATATTGAGAATTATAAAAACCTACCATGTTTTTTTGATCCTAACAAAGACTTCCTTTGGCTCAGTTTGGAATGAGTCCAAATAAAATATATATGTGGACGGCAAAACCTTGTATATTTTGCATTATTGTGTATGTATTTGTACAAAATACCCAGTTTGGTGACAAAGATTTGAAGTTACCAAAATGGCATTATACCCTTAAATTGTACACGATTTGAAATTCTAACTTGACAGTAATTCTCTCTGCTCTCATTGGATGGAGTAAGGTAAAAAGATTGAAATGAAGAGTAAATTTTGTATTTTAAAAGTTCAATGCATTAATTCAGTATTTTCCGTCTGAAAAGTTATGGGAAAGGATGCATTTGCACTTTTTTTTTTTTTCAAAACTAGGGGAGGTTTTTGTTAGGGTCAAAACAGGGGATATTTTAAGGAAACAAGGGAATTTTCGGGTATTTTATACACCACCTCTATATATTCTCATCTGGGGTGGAATCTTTTGGTAACCCATCTGGGGTGAATTAGGGATATTAGTTTTGAGGAGAAACTCCCTTCTTCAGGAGCTAGCAAAAAGGAAGCTCGGGTATAAAATTATAGAGAATTTTGCAGGGCTCATTCATGGATGTAGGCCCACATTTATTTTTTTAAAGGCCGGGAGGCAGATTCATTGCATCAAAACTTTCAACAGCAGGCTAGAGAAGGTAACTATGTACGTAGATAGATTTTTCTTTTCTTTTTCCGTCAATAAGAAAAGGTAACTGGTAGAAAGAGTAAAGAAACTTCACATTAACCAGACCGAACCGTATGGTCGGATTAAAAAAACTGGGAATCGGTCACCTCCGTTTCACCCCAAAATTGTTTTTTTGTCAAAAACCATTGATTTGATCAGTGAACCATTGACCCAGACAGTTAAACTGTTGAACTGTTGGGGCAATGATTTTTGACTGTTTTTTATTTTTTTTTTAATCTTTTTAATTTTTTGTCGGAATGAGCCATCTGTTCCAACCGTTTCACCTGAGAACCGGTTCCCAGAACGGTTCCCTGTCCGGTCAGATGTTTATCCACAGGCAACATCAGGATCACTTAACCAAATTAAGAGGAAAGTCAAACAAACGGTCATTTCCTCCCATGGCCGACTGGGTAACTAAGTGAGCATCCTGGTTGGCTGTTCTACAAGCCCAAGCTCATGAACCCAACAATTCTACAAGCCCAACAACTCTAAGCTCATGAACACAACAATTCTAAGCCCAAGCTCAGGCATACAAGAGGCCAACATTACTATAGATAGGGGTGCAATTTGGGCGGGCTTAACCTGAACCCGGCCTGGCCCAATTCAATTTTTTTCAGTGCTTGGGTTGGATTTTTTGGGCCTCGAGTTGGGCCTGGGCTTGAAAAGGCGGGTTTTTATATTTTTCGGGTTGGGCTCGGGTTGAGGTGTTGGGTAACCCAAGCCCTGCCCTTTAGATTAATAATGATGGGTGTATTGGCAAGGTTTACATGATATTATTAATTTCTAATAGTGATGGGTGAAATTTTAGTTTGACAGCTCTTTAGATTAATAGAATTGTTTTGTTTTATATTTGGTGGTTGAAGTTAACACTAAACTTATCAAAATTCGAGATATCTTTTCTTTTCCCCCTTTTGAAATTAAGTTTTCAGTTTATGATTCAAAGAAAATTCCAGGTATATCTTATATTTTCTAGAGGAAATAATTTTCCTTTTAATTTTATGACGAAAATTATATTGCATTTTTTCTTTTTTAAATGCAATATATGTATTACACATACACATAAATGTATATTAATTTTTAGTTTGGGACTTTGGGCTGATTAACCAATCCAAGTCTGATCCGGGCCCGAGCCCAACCCAAGTGCCCGAAATTTTAGTGCGGGTTGAGCTTGGATTAGATAATTCGGGCTTAACCATGAGCTCGGGCTTTAGGTCCAATTCTTAGGGTTGGGCCTGGATTGAACTAAAACCCAGCCCAACCCGCCCATCTTGGACCCCTAACTATAGAACACATCAAAATCGGTAAACGAATTTAACAATGCAGATGAGCCAATTATTTACTGACACAAAATAACAATAATACTAATTTGCAAAGAGATCCTTTATGATATAAATTAGTCTGGCACTAAGGGGGTGTCATGGACCGGTTTTGGGTTGGAACCGTCCAAACCATATTCATTTTGAATAGATTGAAGGGACCAATAAAATATATTGAATTAGACCAATCCTGACTTAGTGGTCCAAAATGTTTATTAGATTGGATTTGAAACTAGTCCATCTGTAATGGATAAATATTGGATTGGGTTGAATTGAAACAATATCCAGTCCATTGATAACAGATAAGAATATAGGTGCCAATAGACCAAATTTATGTTGTAACCAATTAAATTAAAATAAATTTTAACAGATTAAATGATCAAAATATTTAATTAGACTGATCCAATTAACACCCCTACTAGGAGGCCCATATATATGCCCATATATGTTTTTATGTTTTGTTCCCCTAGTTCAAGTATTGTTGTCTCAAGGTATGATTTGTTAATTCAAGACCATTAAACAGGGGCTGTCTATGTGCTCTTGTGGACGGCAGCTCATAACTTGACCATGCTCATTTAGATATTTATAAATAATTTTATGTTGTTAACGTTCTCAATAGGCCCATGCTCAGTTGAACCTGATTCAAATAGAATCGTGTTTAACTGAGTCTATCTTAAGGTCCATTTGATTTACAGTTGGAATTAGAATTAGAATCGGAATTAAAATCTCTTGGAATCAGAAATAGAATGGCCTATTTTTATGGTCTGTTTTGTTCAGACAGGAAATCAGAATTGTAATAATCTGGAATGAGATTTCATTCCCAAGGGAGGGGAGGGGGAGGGAAGCCATTTCCTCAATTCCAATTCCGCCTAACCAAATAGTTGGAATTGGATTGATCATTTTGGTTCCAATTCCAAACCCCTAGTCCTGTGAACCAAATGGACCCTTAGATTCATCATAAGCCAATGCGATGCGAATTTCAAACCTAAAATTTCGATGATTATATTTTGAATTTCGACATAAAATAGAAACTAACTCTCAGTGGATGATCATTACATTTCATTTTTCACAATTTTTTTTCTTTTTCAGTAATTTTCTCATCGGGAAAAAAATTAAAAACTGAACCCTTTTTTAAACCTTGCTGTTTGGCAATATATGTCAGTTTATGTGTATTCCTTGTTAAGCTGCCACATTGGCGCCATTCCCACACTCTGTCTAGCATTTTGCAGCAAACAAAAGATGAAGTCACTACTCATGGTGGTATTGATGAACAAGGCACACTGAAACATTGGAACTAAGAAAAGCCAACTAAAGTAGCAAGGCTTCATGGCGACTAATAAGCACAGACCAAAGTATACACAAAAGCTTCCTATTTCTTAATCTTAAGAGACTCAATAAAGCTCCCTTTGGTGATGTCATTGGTGGAGATGAATTTGAGAAACTCTCTGAATGTGCTTCCCCTGTAGCCTCTTGGATGCTTGTCGTCGACCAATTCTTTGGCAATGTCTATCATTTCATCCATGGCCAAACTGTGGAGGCTAGCAATGGAGAGCCTTGTCTTCTCGGAGTTGAGAGTAGCCCGATGGATGACACTCTTGTATAAGCCATTGCTCAGCACCTCAAGATGGTCTCCCACATGGACCTGTAGAGCTCCTGGAAGCTCTGGAACCATTCTCCAGGTGCCATCCTCTGGGTCCATGATTTCGAGGCCATGGTGGTTCTGGAGAAGAATGGTGATGCAGCCGAAGTCCGAGTGCGGCGCCAGCCCGAGCGCAGCCTCCCGTTCCTCACAGGGAGGGTAAAAGTTAGACACAATGACCTGCATACCTTCCTCGAGTTTCTCAGTCATGTAGTTGGGTCCTAGTCCCAGGCTCTCTGTGATGGCTCCCATTATTTCAGTGGCTACCTTTCTCACTTCCAAGGCATATTTGCTCATATTTTCCCTGAAATGGAGAGAGAGACACACAGAAGATAACATCAACTGTTGAGCTCATCTTTACTTAATTCTGTAGTTTTGTTGCTGCTGTATACATGAATACGATGATGGGGTGGAAAACATTGTAGTCACCATATAAGAGGCTAAAATACTCCAGAGATTGAAATAAAATTTCTGCAGTGCTATTCTTTGCTCCATTTATTTGGATGAGAGAGATTACAAAGAAAAGTATTTGGATGAGACCCCTACCAGTTGGGAACTTGGGATTAAGGGTGTTAGCTGAGTTGAGATTTGGATGAGCCCAACTCCAACCTAACCGTCCCTAGACATGTATCAAGAGTCATGACATCACATGCCATGGTGAATTTTAATTTGAATGTATTCATTTAATTGGACAGTGAAAAGAAAATTCTATTAAATACTGACAAATATTCTGATTTCTGACCATATGGTAGCTAAAGCCTTAGATATGCGGGACCCGTTTTCCATTCTCCATTCATGGGTTTAGGTTTTTGACAAGGAGGGTCTTTGGCTCTTTGGTTTTACAATGAGGGCAAGGCAACCCCATGTATACCACTGCTCAAAAGTAAAATGAAAAAGAAATTTAGCTTATCAATGTCTTGCTTTTCTTTGGTACAAATCACTTTTGGAATGCCATAGTCCAAGGAGTGGAATTCCAATTCCCCAGACAAAAACCATTTTGTCCTTTGTAATTAGGGTAATGACAATTCCAAGGGACGAATAAAACAACTGGAAGGAAAAAAGAGAAGCAGACCAAAGAAATTGGTGACATCCTTGATGTAGACAAATCAAAGGACCAGTTATGGATTTGTCTGATTGTTATGAGCAGACTTTTAGGAGTTGGGTTTTCTTTTTGTTAGGAGGAGGATTAACTACAGCCAGGCCTAGAGAAGTGTGATCAATTGTAGATAGTAGTTTCCAATTCAATGCTTTATTTCAATTATATTCGAAATAAATATTCTATATGATTGTTTTTTTTTTCTTAAAATTAATTTACTAAAAATGATCAAGTTTCAACCATAGCTCAAGATCAACATCTCCCCAAATTTGGGCAAAACTAGAAACCATGATGATAATCAAATACAATGGGCGCTGCCCGTCCCTACATACACGAGTGTTAATAAATGCACCATTGTACTAGCAATATTGCCCCTCCTAGTGACGTCCACCAAAAGTTTTGTGGAATAAGACATACCATGCATGAACGTCCCTCTCATCTGTCGAGGGGTAATAAACTCAAGAGCGTCTTAAATAATTCCACAACTGCTCTTACATAACATTCTTTTTCTTTCCATTCAAAGATTGAGAGTATTATTAGAACATTTCAAAACTGAGTAATCTCTTCAAAATCTTTTTGTCTATGATCTAAACTACTTGTTTTACATAAGGACTGGACTGGGCCAAGAGATGCATGAAAATGGAACTAGTTGATGGGTTTATATTATGTTAAATCCTGATCAATATTAGAATCACTAGATGTGATCATGGCTTTGATCACTATAGGAAAACCACCTAGCTATGTAATTTAATTTAACAAATTATTATATGATCATTTGGGCTTGTGTAATTCAGAAACTAACAACTGGGACTTTGGAGAAAGAAAGAAATGTACCTGTAATGAGAAGGATTGGAGGGCCACAACCCAACCCACTCCTTCAAGGGATGGGCATATTTCTTGAGGAATGCCCTCCTGAATTGGCCTCTCTCTACTCCGTCCAGCAGGCTCGTCCCAAATCTTACTGGCTTGTTAACATCATTTGACATGAATTCCATCTTCGCCTCAATTGGTAATTTGAAAAAGTCTGAAGCCGAACTGAGGGCGCCTTCAATGACTGATGAGCATATTCCATGGTTAACAACCTGCCAGCCATTGCTCAAAGTTACTTGGATGGTGATTGATGATGAAGCATTGAATTGCTTAGATTGGAATAATTATCTTAGGCTTCATGGAGCTACACAACACAACGGGGGTAGATCGTCGTCCCCCATACCCCCTACCTGGGTGAAGCCTCTGCTGCAACAAGCCAGAGAGACCTTATAAACCGAGCCCTGTTGGAACTTGGGGTGTGGCATTTTCGTAACCTGTTCCAACTTCCAACCAGGTTGAGTCCACCTTTCTGTTTTATTCTTTTTCTCTTCCACTTTTGTATATACAAGTTAAAATTATTATTGACATTAAGATTATACAAAATTCCTTAATACTTACTTGAAAAAAACCCATTTGACGACAAGCCTTCCCAATATCTTTGATGACGAGGGACCTAGCATGAGGACCCTGGTGCAAGCCACTCAGGTCAATAATGGGAATGTTTGCAGCCTCTGTGGTCTGGCTTGTATGTGAGAGAACCATCTCTTGTGGGCTCATCTCGTTTTCCATATTTAACCAACTAGGGTTTACAAAAATGAAATCTAACAAGAGATAAGGCCGGGTCAGTGAGTAGGATGAGGAGATCAGGAAGATCTGAGAGAAGGATCTCTGAGTAGGGTAAGGAGAAAAAAGAACAATGAGTGGAGTAAGGAGAGGGAGGATAGGAGTACTGCTTAGATGGTAGTGTTCCAATGGCTATTTATAGAACATCTCTGTTTTTGGAAGATTTTTTTTCTACCTTTTTAGCATTCAAATATGGCCATTGCATATGATAGAAACTTCTCTGGTTCTTTGTATGGGGACTCTATGTTTAACAGAACCTGAATAAAGCTCCAGACAACTTGTTCAACTTGTTTTGCTAATATTAGTTACTACTACACTCCATGCCAAGACACCTTTTCCGCAGTCTCTAAGTCTAGATTATGGCTTGTGTTGTTGAACCTGTGTCCCTATCCGGCAGCTTGATGAATGCCTAAAACGTTTACTTCCACTGAACCTATTTATTAATCCCGATCCGTATGATAAAATTTAGACTGAAGAATGGCATTCATTGGCTTTCTTTTAGTCTACAAAAACCGACCTTTTCCCCTTTCATTTTAATGCATGGGAACGTCCCCTTTGTCAAGTAATTCATATTTTGACATTTTTATATGTGCTATATTAGGAGGTGTCAATTGGACTGGATTTGGTCCAATCCGGTCCAGTCCAATGTGAGTCCATTACAAATGAACCTAGTTCAATCCAGTCCAATGAATATTTTGGACCGGTCCAGAGACTATCCAATTGTTCAAATTCCTGTTAATTTAGATTGGTTTCAACTCACACCTGATCCATTGACACCTATATTCTTATCTTCCATCAATGGACCAGATATTGGCTCAACCCAATATAACTTCATTATGGACGGACCAGGTCCAATCCAATATGTCATATTGGTCCGTCCAGTCCATCCAAATTCAACATGTCTTATTGGTCCGTCCAATCCGTCCAAATGGATTTTGATTTAGACGGGGTCCAACCCAAAACCGGTCCATTGACACCCCTATATGCTATTAGCAAGAGTTTGGAATTTTTCTTATTGACTGAAGTATTCCTATTCTTAAATTGGATCCCTCTCTCTAATTGTGAGTACAGAAAAATATAATTTTAAGAATATTTTTTATGTTCTTTAATAGAGGTTTTGTCTATTACTAAAAACCATGTTTTCTAGGGCTTTTTCTAAGGCTTAGTTTAGAAAAAGTACAAATACAAATACAAATATGTACAATACAAATCTATACAAAATATAAGGTTTTGTGCTCTACGTATCTATATTTGTAATCCTTCCAAATAGAGCCTAAACAAATTAAAAATAAATTTAAGCAATATAACCACAAGAAACTACTCTCTCCTTTAACTAGTTTTCAGTTAAAACAAATCTCTCTGTCCTTAACTTTTCACCCACACTGAAAAAGTTGAATAAAATGAGACAGCTAAGTTAGGCTGTCAATGGACCCGAACCAATTGAGTTTTGGTTTCAGTAATTGGAACTGACTCGTCAGTTCCGGGTCCTGCTATCCACCCAGTCCCAAACCGATTCAGACTCGACCCAAATTATATATACAATATATATAATATACTAAATAAATTATATATAATATATATTAAACATATATATTTATTTATTATAATTAATCAGATTCATCAGATGAGACTCAATTATTCAGAGAACCGATCTATTCGGTTCTGGGTCTAAACATTACAAACCCTATCAGGTCCGAATCGACTTAGACCCTCAATATTATTAAATTTATTGATATTTATATCACTACATATATTATGTTGAAACTTGATAACTTATTAAGTACTTGGTGGTTAAAACCGTATATGTATATATATATATATATATATATATATATATATAGGTAATTTGAAAGAGATCCTGCCAAGTAAAATTAGAATAATTAATGGTGGCAATTCAGAATACTCATCTTAGAAACGTGGAACCTAGCTAGCTATCAAGAGGCAATAGCTTATCATAGCCACAGAACGAAGAGGCGGATTTTAATTGGCAGGAAAGGGACAAAATAAAATGAAAAATGATTTTTGAAGAGGAAAGTTGGAATGTAGTCAATCGAGTAACGCTTCAGGACTACCAGGGGGCAAGCTGAGCTATCAAACAGTTTGTGTAGCTCATTCTGAGTATTTAAAAGAAATAGAAGCTTAAGGCTGAAGTTGTCATGGGTTTGTATCGTCTTAATTGCTTGGCAATGGCCGGGCATATTTTGCTTGTAGTAGTTGGAACTTGGATCGAACTACAAGGAGCCAAAAAGAGTAGATATTGAGTTCTAATTTTGATGGGTTGGAACTCGTCCACGTATTGGCCACCGACCCGTTGTTTGTTGCCATAGATGATACCGTCCTGCTCCTAGTTTTCAGGATGGCTGAAAAGCATTGACAAGGAGGACAGAGCAAGATTGCTTGTACCGAGACGTATGGCCATTTTCATTAAACTGTTGCAACTTGTCGTTTTTGTTTTAGAATCTCCTCCAAAAACGGGTCTATGCTGGAGGGTGTGTTGCTTTCACAACAAAGAAACTAATTAAAGGCCTCTCTCTACGTGAAACTCTCTACCTCTGTTAGTCTTTTCATCTTGAAGCCTTTTTTCCAACAAGGAATTGATCAGTTCTATCCCTTGATGGAAGGAGGGGACTGGGGAGGGCCTTTACCATCGGCTGGTGGAAAACACTGCCACGTAATCCATGCAATCACGTGAAGTTCATACATGGGCGGTGTGGATTTCCGGTCCACCATTGGAGGGATCGAGCTTTCTCTCGCCTTCTATGCATGAATGGAGCAAAGTTTTGACAATGAAAAGCCCAATGAAGAAATTGTGCTATTTATTGTGCAGGAGACGCTTTGACGATAGGCTTCAATTCCATATCGGTCCTTCTTTGTCAGCAATTTTGAGTTTATCTCATTTTTCCTCTTTGTCATCAGGTTTGGTACTTGGCTATTAAAACATCAAACACTGATGCTAGGCTTCTCCTCAAGATCATTATAACCAATTTAAGACTTGGTTTGAGTATTGCCAGACATCCATGACATAATGTAGCTAGGCGTTGGGGCTTCTTGTACCATACATTGCCAAACACTAGACCACTTGATCAAACAAACATACCAAACTCAAGGACCCATTCTACCTTACCTGAATAGGTTCTGATTCATAATATGACTAATGATGTAGAATTAATGTTTGACCAGTTTTTTGATTAATTTGCAAGACCCATGTTGAACACTTAGCTTGGATAACTCAACAAAATAATTTCTATGCTTCAGTTGAAAAAATAATTAACTAGACTGTATTTACTTCAAGGTCTGTTTGATGTTTTCAATTTCATATTTCTTGTGTTGCTCTGTATTGCCACCAAACACAATAAGGACAATACTTGGCTTGTATTGCATTTGAGGACATGCATCCTACCACCACCTTATTTTTACATCTAAACCCTAAAATCTAATAAATTCTAAACACTTAAAACCTAAATCTTAAATCGTAAAATCCTAAAATCTAAATTCTAAACCCTTAAACCTTAAACCCTAATTCATAAACTCTAAACTCTAAATCCTAAGTGAGCGTTCTTTTATTGGATTTGGAGAATGAGAAAAGTTGGTCAATGGGGATTTTGGTTCCCATTGACCAAGAATCACATGTTCTTTTTTCAGCTTTATATGAGGGCCAGGAAAGTTTATTTTCCTATGTATCACTTATACTCAAGAAAGTGATACCCATCTCATGGTTGGATAAACAATTTTTCCACATAGGAGAAAGTTGTCAACACTTGAATGGGACAAAAATGTCTTTTTAATAATAGAATTCTATAGTCAAAATGGCCATTACCTTATTTACTTAAGAAATAAAAGAACATGAATAAACACATCTACCTGGATAAATGTTTCCTAGAAAAAAATTTATCCAAATAATTGCATTTACCCAGATAATTGCATTTACTCAGATAAATAACTCATCGAAAAACGAACGGGGCATAAAATTAATATATAAATGAATATGATATATAAGATGCATGTCCTTCAACGTGCATGATAGCCTGGTAGGGACCAAGTATTTTTTATATCTAACAATATATCAAATGGTGAACCCTGAGTCAAGTGCCAAAGATATTGGGTTCATTACCCTTCATATTTTGCATTAAAATTAAACAACTTGTATTCATTTAATATTTTCCTAGCTAGTTAGATCACTGCAAAGGTACAATCGCTTTTATCAACAGGGAAAACCAAGAAAAGAAACTACAACAGTATAATCTAGTTCAAATTTAGTTCAGCCAATTTGGCAGTTGAGAGGTTAGACCTTTCTAAGATAATTAATGTGCGCGTCAACAATAGTTAAATCCAGAGGATGGCGGAAGTGAGCCAGTGGTGAAGAACGATTTGTCTAACCTCTGAAATGCAATGAACCATTTCAGTAACACAAATCCATGCACGGCTCCTTCACGAACGAATTCAGATAATTAATCAGTTATAATTAAGAAGCAAAGATTCTTTGACTTCGGTTATATAACAAATTAAATTAATCAACTCAGAGCTACACTAATTAAGATTCGGCCATGGTTGGTGGAGTCTTGACAAATACACACACGCCCGGCCCACTAATTAATCGATCACCATATAGTTGGTTTGTCAATTAATTTGCAACTGTTTTCTTGGTGAGCCTCCTTCTCTCTCTCTCAAGACTATCTGATCAAGTGATCAACCTTGTATTAAGAGATAATTTTATAGAAAATCTTTTCTTTTTTCATCTTGGACTAATATATATATTTACATATATATATGTTTCAACGACCACAAGCAACCAATTGATTGAAAGTTTAGTCTGTACTATCATTAACATAACATTAACAACCGAATTTGCCTTTTCTATCATTGTGGAAAAGGTAGTACGTCGCATCATGTTTAACCTAAAATGTCTGTTTTATTACACAATAACAGGGAATCTGATAAGATAATGACAGAGAAAGGGGCTGGACCGGCTGGTCTAATTGACTGATTGAAACCGGGTTATAAGCTGTATGCAAGGGTTTTGACTTTTGAGCTTGGCCAACACAAAATCAGATGGGCCGTCTGGTCCGGGTTCTCCGCTTGGACTAAGCCATCAATCAATCAATTGGTGTGTCGTATTAACGTGCTTTTCCCTGTTTTGGATTTTTAATATATTATATAAGACTTTGTTGGTGGTGGGTCCTCATGATATCATACGGTCCGAACCAGCAAACGAAGGCCATGGTCCATAAGCTTGTTAGGCCAAACTCAACCAGCCGGCTATGCAGATGAAGGGAACTAAAAGTTTCAATTCATTATTAGGTAGGAGAAGAAATGAAAGCAAATAGTCAGATATTTATTTATTTATTTATAAGGATTAAAGTATTGGTATCTGTTATCGTATTAAATAATTTGGATATGGATATGAATACAAATATATTTTGGAAATGTATGGATACAGACGAAAAAATATGAAAATACTTGATACATTGGGAAAATGAATATTAATTTCATAAATATATTACTAACAATAGACAAATAATGTATAAATACATAAGAATTATATATTTTAATGGTATATATGAAAAAATATATTACAATTGATATAGCAGAATACATAGATATCATACAATTTTATTGATAGGCATCAATCAAGATTCTAAGAGACATAAAATATAGATTTTTACAAATTAATACATGTACAAAGCCATTATATTAAAGTCCAAGGCATAAAACATATGCAACTATTATATTTCAATTATTATATCATTTTCTCTATTTTACTACTTATAATTTTTAGCATTAACAAAAATGTTAACTAAAAATTAATTCTCAAAGTTTTGGTAAACAATATTTTCATTTTTGTAAAAAATGTATATGTTATTATAAAATGCAAATGAAAATATTAATTGATAATTTATAAAAATATATAATCCTAACTTAAAATATATCAAATCTATTTAAATTTCAAAGATACATATTATATGAAAATTCGTAAATTTTAATTATTACAATAATTATTTCATTATTAATATTTTATTTTTATAAATTCCTAAAATAAAAATAATCTTTTAATATAAATATAGAATAGCGGATTTGATAAGTCCAATTTATATTACATTTTTAAACATTTTATAAATAATATTTTTATTTTTGTAAATAATAAATACATGGTTTTTTAATGCAAATTAAAATATTAATTAATAATTTATAAAAAAAATTGAGATATATATCATGTGCAAATTTGTAAATTGGAGTTGTTGAAGATATTAATTATTTATTCCATTGGTTTATAAAATATTAATTTTGAATATTATTCTTTTTAATTTGTAATTGGAGTTGTTGAAGATAAGTGTATATTGGTTGTTGGGATTTTATGTAAATATTATGTAATAAAAGTTAATGTATTCTATTTAATTATATGAAATAAAAGTTGGTTCAATGGCTAAAGATGCATTGTTTATTGGGCGCTAGGCGAGTTGGGGTCTTAGTTTCAAGTCATGCTAGTAGCATTTTTTATATTGAATTCGTGCTTACGTTCAAACTAAGCTTCGATACACAACGATACGCATGACTAAAAGGGTATCTTTCCATTGGAAGGGCTATGATCAATTATATGAATGGCCGAATCATGCTTGATAGTTGGGCGAAATTTCAAACATTCCCTAATCCTTTTGGGAATCAAATTTTCTATATTTTGAAAAACTTTATTTTTCATTATCGGTCTTACACTGAACTAGGTCATATTTGAAACCAAACAAAGAGGGAGAGTTGTACCTGATACGGATACCACAAGCATAGATCCCAAGGTGGAAGTTCACACCCAAATTAGTCCTAAAACTAGTCTCCACTAAAGATGACGCAATGTATAGATGAAGCTGATTCAGCAACACAGTTTTCAGGAAAACTGCAGCCCAACTACTTGAATCGAACTAGGGAAGGTGAGCTTAAAATTTTTCTGAATTTTTCTTGAAAAAAATCAAAAGAAAACTGATTTCTATCAGTCATTGATAGTTGATACTAAATTGGGAAAAAACTGGAAGACAAAAGGGTATCCCATGCCAATATGACCTGATATTAATACGATACACCCTATATCAGATATATCATATCGATATTTTAATCCTTATTTATTTATTTTTTACTCAATGGAGTTATATAACAGGTAGCCCATCCCCAGTCCACCAAAGGTCCATCATTATTAGGTAGAAGAGGAGATGGAAGCAAGCAATATTTAAATATTCTTTTATTGAAGGCTGGGTGTCTCCCAATATTTAAATATCTAAGCTTGGCTGGTTGTAATCTATATAACAAGTAACGAGACCTGTTTGCTCCATACCTACATCTCTCTCTCTCCCCAAGTTGTGCTCTTAATTAGAGCCATGGCCGTCCCAACAGCTCTTCTGCTTCTCCTCCTAGCGGTGGCTCCAGTGGTGTATGCCACAAATTATAATGTGGAGTGGTCACAAGGTGTGGATTACGTGAAATGGGCTTCTGGCAAGACTTTCTTCGTCGGCGACACACTTGGTAAGTTGATATCTTCTATCTTACAAGCACAACCTCAGGCTCAGAAATAAATATATCAGACCATATAGAAGTAATCTTTGTGCATAGCAAGGTATATGACTAAATTTTGTGTCGTTGTAAAATTAAACCTACAGTGTTTAGTTATGGGGGATTGCACAGCTTGGCCGAGGTGAGCAAATCCGACTACGACAGTTGCAACATAGGCAATTATATCAGACTGTCCAGCAACGGAAATGACGTGGTTAAACTGAGCCAACCAGGGCAAAGGTACTTCCTATGCCCAACATCGAACCACTGTGACGAAGGGATGAAACTTGCAATCACAGTTTCCAGCGCTAATACTCCGACCGGCGATACGCCCACGACGCCTAGCACAGATGCAGCAGCTAGCAACTTGTACAACGCGAATGCTTTGGTGCTTGGAGCTTCGGCTGTGTTCGCGGTGCTTATGGGTTAGGAGAGAGGCAGTGCAGCAGCTCTTGTTTAGTTTTCTTCTTACCCCGTGTGATTGAACCAGTACTAGTAGTATTTTGTTAGGGCCAATATATGGTTCAAGAAATTGTATAAGTTAAAAACCCACCAAATAAATACAAAATTAAACCCATAAAAAGATTTTGATTGGAATCAGTTCCTTTCGAAAATAAGATGGAAAATTCCTGACCAAAAATTAGGAGTTTGATGATAAGATAAGAAAAAGGGCAAACCTAGAGAGACTTGAACTTGATGATGATTAAGGTTTTAAATCTCAGAAAATTTCAAAGGAAAATCCCGGGATATGTATGTATGATTCATGTTAATTGGTGAAGGGGAATTCTAGGTTGGTAGTGCAGGTGTGAAGTGACTTATTTTAACTCCTAATTAAATAATTTTATGCTTGTCATGATCATGGTATGTATCACTTTTTTTTTTAACTTTTAATTGGTTAAGGAAACATTTCATTAGAATTAAAAAAAAAAATCCACGAAACCAACAGCATATCTAAATTCAAGGGTGCCCACAACTTTGGTCTTTGGTTGTTGGGGCCAGCAGCTTGAAATGTTCATTTGAGTCAAAAGACAAGTAGGCGACTAAGGAGTTCGGCTTAGGTCAGTGAAACGCCTGTTCAAACAGCCTTTACAATCTTGTATTGAGAATATTTTCGTATTGATGTGCTTTATTTCATGGGAAGATATTTCCAATACAAGGTTGCAAGAGGTTGTTTGAATAGTGTGAACACGGGCTTGTATTGATTGGAGCCAAATTCGTGACTAAGGGGTTAACGTGTCATATCCAAGAACGGTCCCAACAACCAAAGCCTAGACCAATTTTCTTTCCAATCAATTGATGGAAATTTGATTCCAATTTGTTAAGGATGGTTTGGGACAAAGTAGAATATAGGACATTTGGATGAGGGTTGAAGCTCTCAACTGTTGAGGCGGCTCAATGAGATTAAAATTTTGGGTAAATTGTTGAAACCTCCCCTGAAAGTTTTTTAGCGTTGCTGAAACCTCTTCTAAACTTTTTGATACAGTTGCAAGTAAGGTTCAAAATATCGATACGCCCGATATGCCGGTATGGGCGTATCAAGCAAATCGATACAGTGTTTCAGGCTTTTTATTTTTTCGCAATTTAGGTCAATTTAGGTCTCCTCTACCCCCTGAACTGGTCAGACCTCCGATACACCCACTGTAGGGGCGTATCGGAGGGGTCCCAGAATGATACGTATCGGCCGATACAAGCCGATACGTGTCGATACTTTGAACCTTGGTTGCAAGTAGACCCCCTCCAGTAGAATCTTCTTAAAAAAAGGCATAGAAATGTCCAAAGTACCCATAAAGTTACTATTGAGGCTACTTTCTACATAAAAAAGAAAAAAACAACACAAACTTTATGAGCAACAAAAACAAAGAGAATTTAAAGTTGTAATTTTACCTTTAAGTGATTGATATAAGGGGGCGTTCTTTTTTTGGATTTTGAGGGGGGGCGGTGGGGAAGTTGGTCAATGGGATTTTGATTCCCATGTTCTTTTTTCACATATTTGCAGCAATCAGGGAAAGTTTATGTTCTTGCATCTCCTAGGTGGGTAAATAACTTTCCCACCTATGGGGAAAGTTGTCAACACGTGAATGGGACAAAATGCCCCTTTTAATAATAGATTTTTATGGCTAAAATGGCCATTGCCTTATTTACATGAGAAATAAAAGAACATGGGTAAATGTATTTACCCGGGGACTTACCTGGATAAGTGCATTTACCCGGATAAGTAACTTAGGCCCCGTTCACTTTTCGGTAAGTTACTTACTTAGGTAAATACAATTACTTGGGTAAGTTTTTCCTAGTGCATTTACCCATGTTCTTTTATTTATAAGGTAAATAAGGCAATGACCACTTTAGCCATAAAAATCTATTACTAAAAGGGGCATTTTTGTCCCATTCAAGTGTTGACAATTTTTCCCCCATGTGGGAAAGTTATTTACCCACCTAGGAAATGGGTTTCACTTCCCTGGGCAAGTGATACCCAAGAAAATAAATTTTCATTAATCTCCACATAAAGCTAGGAAAAGAACATAGGATTCTTGGTCAATGAAAACCAAAATCCCATTGACCAACTTCCCCCCTCTCAAAATCCAAAAAAAGAATGCCCCTTTACAGAAAAACAAATGGGGCCTAAAGGGAAAATTTGGAAAATAAATCAACTTGAACAAAAGTGATTGAAAGGGTTTAGAGGTAGTGATATGAATGGGAAATTTGCAAAATAAACATTTTTGTTAAAAATAATTAGATGAATATTTTGGACTTTTTTACGTCTCATTTTAAAATATTCTGGTCTACTTGCAAGTATGTAAGAAAAATTAAAGGGAAATGATTGTAATTACCAAACTTTAAAAAATGTTTCGATGACAACCAAAAACTTCAGCCTAAAATTTAAAAAGATCAATATAAAGATAGATAGGACCATAAATATTTACCAAAAAAATAAAAGACAGCACTCATGCATGAGCTTGCAAATCCGAATCTCCTACCCACTCCTATTGAGAGGACACTACAATTGTGCATTGGAAGGAGATCCAGACCTTAGGGCTTGGACCTTGATTAGTGTCACACGTCCCATGTTTCAAGTATGTTGAAATCCAGCATGCATCCAGATGAATGGACAATTGGACATGGACCCCACACATTTATTATCATGGAAAGTGATGAGAATACATAGCATACAGCATATGGCTACCAAACTATTGTTCATTAAGTATAATTAGGCCAATCCACAGGACCCAGCATTTTAGACGATCAGGATTTCTGTAGCTGGAGATGGAGATAAAGATGACGGATGCCAAGGGTCCAAGGGTCCAAGGCATGTTTGGAAGGTTTCAAAGTGAGGGATGAACTCAATTTGGTAATCCTCTAAATAGGCTCATTGGGTTTATTAACTAATACTAAGAAGGGGGGCCCTACGAGGGGTGATTCTAAAGTTGATCATTTCAGTTCAGCCCGGACCCACATTCCCAGCCAAAACCATCCTAGACCTGCACTAAACTAGACCTTGGTCAACCAAACCCTAAGGCTCGCTCAACATGGCCCAACCCAGAAGTTATATACCATATATGTTAAATATATGAACAATAAATTTTTAAGTATATGTTCTACAATTTATATTATAAAATTAAATTAATATTTTTAAATATAATTTTATTTATTTATATGGGCAAGTCCAAACACCCACTACCCTTCGTATATGCAAAGTATTCTGGTAACATTTTGATTTTGAACTCTATAATTTTAAAGTTTAAGATTTATTTATAAGTTGATTTTGATTTTTTTCCTTTTTTTAAATGAAAAAAGTAACATCTTAAATTCTATAAAATAATTTCTTAATTTAACTTAATGAATTTTAGATCTTTAAAATATGTTAAAAAAATACAATTGAAATGCTACAGGTTAGGACTAATCGGTATTAGGTTAAACCCTATAGGGTCAGGTTGAGGAACTGTAGGGTCAGATTAAGATTGAAGCAAACTCGATCCATTGACATCCCTATCTGAACATATAATATCAGGCCCGGGGTATTGGTCAAGCCAAGCACTGGCCCACCCTATAAAAACCCAACTCGGGCATGGCCTGACCCATAATCATTCCTATGTGTAGGTGATCATTAATCATTTATGACATCTTGATTGTATTCAAGCTCCACACACATCATGTAAGTTAAACAGCTACAAGGAGGGGGAGAGAGCAGAGTAAATTTGCAAGTCTAGATATAATAGGCACAACCTTGTAAAGTTGTAATCGCAATCAGTGAGCACTAAAGAAATATTATCACAGCTGTCTTAAAAGTTTGCTTTTAATCTTTTGAAAGGATAAGGTGGGGGCATTTATAGGACAAATGTGTGAAAATGGATCATTTACTAAAATATCCTTTATAGTTTTATGTATTTGTTAAAATTTATCCTATAGTTTGTGTTTTATTAAAACACCCCTATAGTTTGCAACCATCCCTATATATTATAAGAAAATAATTCTCCGTTAACTTCATTTTATACTTTGGATCCAATTCAGTTGCTACACCCAAATTAAAATGTTGTTAATCAAATAACAATACTTATGAAATTTCCCCAACATTTTTTATGTCATTTGCCTTGCAATCTTGCATAAACAACTAGGCCACTGAAACAATGCTATTCTAATCTCATAAACTGGGAAAATATAAATTCGTTATGGGATACTAAAGACCCTGAGAATAATTTAATTATATTATAAAACAACTTTAACCTCCCACAAATTTCCTGTGTCAATTCCCAGTGTTTCTCACTTGACAAATATTTATATTGTGGCTCACGTTATTTCAAGTGAAAGAAAAGCGTCCTTATTTTTTTTAATTAAACCCCAAATTTTACTCCAAGTGGAGGGAGACCACCTTAAATTTTATAAATAAAAAAAAATTATAAAAGAAATTACAAGAGAGGACGTAGCCTGGCTTGCCCCAAGCCTGAATACAAATGCACTCATCACTCTGGCCCATAAATTGTGCATAAAAAGCTAACCAAGGCGATTTTAGGTAAAGATAGATAACAAATCATAAAACATCAATGCTCTAATTGAACATGGTGAAGAGCATGGTTTTCAAAACTGGACCGGACTGGATGGTCGGACCAGAAAAACTAGGAATCGGTCATGGTTCCGTTTTCTCTCAAAACTGGATTTTCTCAAAAAACATTGATTTTGTCAGCAAACCACTGAACTGGATTAACCGTTTGAACCATTTGAACGGTTTTGACCGTTTTTATTTTATTTTTAATTTTTGTTATTTTTTCTGTCAGAACAGAGACCGTTCAACCCAGTAACCAGACCCCTGACGGGTTCAATCTCTGAATCGTTTTTAAAAACCATGTTAAAGAGGAAATATAAATCATAAAAAATCAATGGTCTAATTCAATTGAAGCGCATGGGATGCTAAAGCATCAGCAACCGCGCGCATTCCCTTCCTTGAGAGTGTGTAAGAACTTAATGCTCATGGAAGTGGAATACAATAATCACATCGAGACATGGTAAAATTTTCCATGGTTCTTGGTTAGTAGAATCCAAGAGCTGGAGCAAATTTTATTGCATCCAGAATAGCCCTACATTCAGCTATCATATTGGTACCTTTACCATATAAAATTCATAGCAAAACCACAGATGTAAGAATCGATTTTTGTTTGAAATTTAGTAGTAAGCACATCAAACATATGCATCCTAGCTTTACCTTTGTGAATTGGAACCCCCAAATATTTACATGGCATTTGTTGTTTACAACAACCAGTTACAATTCCAAAGCATGAATTTTTGTTGTTTACATGATTTTTGTGGTA